TAAAAGTTGAGGGGCACCTGGGGTGGCTCAGTCACCCAGGTAAGCATCTGACTTTGGCTCAGGTCATGATCTCGTGGTTTGTGGGTTCAAACCCCACATTGGGCTCTGTGCTGATAGCTCAGAGCCTGCAGCTTGCTTCAAATTCTGTGTCTCCCTCTCTCTCTGCCTCTCCCCAGCTCATGCTCTGTCTCTCTGAAAAATAAACATTAAAAAATATTTAAAATAAAATAAAAATAAAAGTTTAGGTATTAAAAGTTTAATGAGAGCCCCAAACTGGAAATAATCCAACTTTCCATCAGCAGGTGAATGGATAAACAAACTGTGGTATGTCCACAAAATTCCTATTTAGCAATAAAAAGAAATGAACCACTGATACACACAACAGTGTGGATGAATATCAAAAGCACTATGTTGAGTGGAAGAAGCCAGACACAAAAAAGTACACACTAGATAATCCCATTTATACAAAACTCTGGAAAGGACAAAGCTGGTCTGTAATGCCAAGAAGCAGATCAGTGGGCACTGGGAGCAAGGGCGGGAGATTGGTTGGGATGGAACCCAAGAGAACATTTTGGGGTGATGGAAATGTTCCATATCTTTTTTTAAAGTTTATTTATTTATTTTTTAGAGAGAGAGACACTGCTGGGGAGGGGTAGAGAGAAAGAGGGAGAGGGAGAGAAGCAGGCTCTGTGCTGTCAACATGGAAGTCTGATGTGGGGCTCGAACTCACAAACCTGAACCAAGAGTTGGTTTGCTTAACTGACTGAGCCACGCAGGTGCTCCTGGAAATGTTCCATATCCTGTTTGTGGCGATGGTTACATGTACCTGTAAATTTGTTAAAATTCATTGAACTATACACTTAATCTTGTATATTTACTGTACATTTAGAATGGGTGCGTTATATTATTTATAAATTATAGTTTAATAAAATTTACAAGGGAAACCATCAGCATTCTAGCAACAGAAAGTGGAACTTTCATACTAGCGGAAGGGGATAGTGGAGGAAAGGAAAATGAATGAGAAAGCAAAAAACAGGAGGCTTAGGTGATACCTGCCTGAACCAGAGATACAGGGGTACCTGGGCCCTATTGTGGAGCCTTCAGCCTGAGTCCAGATGACTGAGTGGAAGTGGGTAGAACAGACCTCCGGTCTGCTAGACCAGAGCAGGCCCAGCTTACACAACTGTACTGTTTAAACTCCCCAAGTGATTCTACTGTGTGACATTTTGGGACCCACTCTGAGGTCAAAGGCTAAAGAGCAACAGAAGACTCACAAACACCAGCTAAGCAGCCAGAGACTGTCTCAAAAGCAATTGCCCACCTCCTTTCCACAGCCTACTCACCCCTCCCCACCTGACTGCCCCTCTGCCTTACTCATATTTTCCTCCCTCAATCTTTCTCTGACTTTCCCCCAAACCTTGCCTCCTTTTATCACTTACTTTGCCGAAGTTCAACAATTAGACTTTTAAACCGTCTAGGGGCACCTGAGTGGCTCAGTTGGTTGAGCATCTGACTCTTGATTTATTTCAACTCAGGTCATGATCCCAGTGTCCTGGGATCAAGCCCCGTGTCAGGTTCCATGCTGAGCATGGGGCCTGCTTGAGATTTTCTCTCCCTCTCCCTCTGCCCCTCCCCAGCTCAAGCATGCAGGCACAAGCTCAATAGATAGATAGATAGATAGATAGATAGATAGATAGATAGATAGATAAAATGAAAAATCTAATTAAATGGCCTTCTATTACATATTTTTTTTCAAAGCCAAATTCTGACTAAAGTCAAAGGTTTTTAATATGTGTGGGCTCTTAATATTCCCTGTGTCTCAGTTGTCCTAATGGAAAAAAATGAATCCCCAACCCTGAACTCTGGTGATCAATCTCACTGAGTTGCAGGACAGCCCCAGAAGAGTCCTGGACTCTCTGCCCTGTTCCATGTTCCCCCACCATAGAGGGAGTGTCGAGGGGGAAATGGACACACGCAGAGTAATGCAAGTAATCCTCCTTTCCTCCTCTCCAAAAATGACTCCATCTGAAATGAGGGAGCTTCCATTTAAACTCTCAGCCAAAGAATGGAGTAGCAGTGAGGCAATAAGCTGCAGGGCCTGAGCTCTGGAGAAGGTGGGGGTACACCCATGCCAACCAGCCACCTACCAATGCCTGAGGTCCACCTCCCAGTGTTGTGCCAGCCAATGATTGAAGAAAATACTTCTCCAGGCACCTGGGTGGGTCAGTCAGTTAAACATTCAACTCTTGATTTCGGCTCAGGTCATGATCTCACGGTACATGGGTTCGAGCCCCTCATTGGGCTCCATCCTGACAGCGCGGAACTTGCTTGGGATTCTCTCTCTCTGCCCTTCCCCACTTGTGCACAAGCTCTCTCGCTCTCTCTCAAAATAAATAAATAAACTTAAAAAAAAAGAAAAATTATTTTCATTCTTCTCTTTGTCTCTCCTTTCCTTCCTTTCTTCCTTCTTTCTTTCCCTATCCCTCCACCCCTCCCCCCCGCACCTCTTCCCTTTCTCTGCAGGAGACTCTTGTGAATGTCTGGAGATATATCTGAAGAAGCAAGGGGGCCTAATATTTGAACCAGCCTTGTTTCTCACATTCATTCAGCTAAGACTATGGGCCCAGGGCTGCCCTATGGTAGAACCCCACGGGGAAAATTCATATCATCACTTCATATGAATGGCACCCCCTGGAGTTGGGCAGTATATAGCTTGTACGGCCATACATGGCAACCTTGGTGGCCACCCTTTTCTTCTTTTGCATGGTGAGAGAGTTTGACAAGTTGAGGAATGATGTTCCTGCTCCTGTGTTTCTGCCCAGCTTCAGAATGAATCGGGCTCATAGCTGTGTTCTTATGGCGAAATCCCTCCAAACTGGCCACCCTCAGGACCTTGAAATGTGTTTCTGGCCATCTTGGGCCAGGGTTGGAGATGGGATAGGAATGCAGTAGAAATAGACTCAGATCCCTCCTTACCTAGGATCAGGAGCCAAACTGGAGTCAGGAGTCAAGGAGTCAGGAGTCAAGGAATGGCCCTTAACTCCTCAGTCTGGTTGGCTCCCAAATTCAATCCTGGTGATGGTTCCTCATTCCCTGGCTGAGGTTACCCCTGCATCTGCTGACCAATTTCTTGACTAGAGAACCAGACCAGCCTCCGCATTCTTGCCCTCCCATCCTTGTCTCATTATGTCTTCCCAAACCCAATCTAAGCCAAGGTGGCATTGCCTACATTTCTGTGTGAATCGAGTTACCTACCAACTCTGCGCAAGCCCTGCAGGTGCCTGCTTCCTTCATAAAACCTGCTGGCCTGGGACAGCAGACACCAGCCACCATAAGGTGACAAGGTGATCACACAGTGAAGCAGAGAACTTGTTGTGTACAACTTTGCATATGTAAGTGCGTTTTTCTTGGGAGACAGTCCATAGCTTCCATCAGTTTTCCAGAAAGGTCCAAATGGGTTAAGAACCACTAGAGTACAGTGTTGCATACCTTTTCACGGTTAGTAGGTAATGATCTGTCTCTTTAGAATGTAAGATCCCATTCACTTACTTGTCAAATATTTATTGTACATCTACTATCTGCCAGTCACTGCTTTAAACACCGGAGATAGAGCAGCAAACAAAACAGACAAAAATCTCTACCCTCCAAGGCCTTACTTTTCAGGAGCCAGAGACAGACCCTGGCTATATGAGGCATGAAAGACAGACTGAAGATTCTAAGTTTTGAGCTCCATGAAGATCGAAGAACTCAGAACTCTCTGAGTTTGAAGTTCTAAGAACTCTACAAAGTTCTAAGTTATGAACTCTGTGGAGGTCTTAATAAGTACTGATGATGCCAGCACAGGGGTGGTGATGACAGGTGGCCATAGTAGGAGCTCAGGGGCCAGCCTGGGGCTACCCCAAAGGAAACCTCTCATTGCTGAGCCCAGAGACAGTAGTGGTGGTCTATGACAGGAAGCAATGGTTGGGAAGTAGGGGAGAACCAAATTGCTCCCTACCCATGCCCGCCAAAACACTGGCCCTTCTGAGGTCCAGCTTCTTCAGTCCTCCCTGCTCATGTCCAGCTGGAGGCCTGGGGATCCCAGGCCAGGCCAGGCTGGGGGCACAGGCTGGGACCACTTTTCTCCCAGCAAGGAGCCAGAACGAGGGCTTTCTTCCCAGAGTCAGGATGGGTGAGCCTTCCTCACATAGGTGTCCCTGACCGAAAAAAGGAATTGTGACTTCGGTCCTGGAGAGGGTGGAGAGGGAAGGCTGCAGCCCAAGAAAGCACTCCTGGAGGAGAGGGTAGGAGGAGCAAGTGTCCAAGTGAGTATGGCATCAGGGCCACTGAAGGGCCCCAGGCAGCTCAGCACTGGGCAGGGAGGACATGGGGACAACAAGGCTGCAGAGGCCAACGGCCAGAAGGCCCCCACATCATGCCTAGTCAGGGTGGACCCCCTGTCTACAGACCTGAAATCTGCCCATGGTGAAGAGATTCCAGCTATCAGAAGGTCCCAGGTGGGTCAACAGAGATGAAAAACAGGGAGAGAGAGGGGCAGTTTGCCCAGATCATAGCACATGTCTGTGAAAGAGGCAGGAATCCAGGCCTCTGAGTTCCCAGCCAGGCCCCTCTACCCTGCCCATCCCTGCCCCACAGACAGGTGCTCGCCAGCCCCACCCTCACTAGCAACACGCACACCCACGCAGCCACACACTCACTCTGCTCCCTGGTAAACAAATGCATGCTCTAGACATACCCATTGAGCTTCTGGGAATGGCGAGACTATTTGCAGGAGGGGGCAGCTGTACACCTGACAAGAGAGTGTGGTCCGAGTTTAAAGAGTAAAGCATCAGTAACTAGCAGGGAAACGTGTGCATACCCACCAGCCAGGATGCCATCCCACAGCCTTCAGGAGGCTGAGCAGAGAAGGGTGGTGAGCAGTGAGGTGAGGGGGCAGGGGAAGCCAGAGGTGAAGGAGAGTCGGCAGGCAGGAAGGTGGAGTTAGTGATCCAGACTGGCAATCCATGAGGTCTCCCTTTATTCTTGATAGCACTGAGCACTGCATCCAGGAGCCCGGCCATTTGCAGGAAGTGTGGATTAGGCGGAGGAGTCTCTGCTTTTGGTCTCAGCTTAACCTGCTTTCACAGCTTCCAGTCTTGGTGAGGGTCTGAAGACCTGGGCCCCCTAAGGTCCCTCTGGGTTTGGGCCATGCCCTGGGGCTAGACTGTGGCCTCATCCCTCTATACTCCAGTGTAAAATTAGCACTGCTCACTCGTGCCCTCCTCCTCCCCAAAGCCCCTGGGGGAGACATCCCCCCGCTTTGTCTCCCAGAAACACATATGAGAAGGGTGCAGCCCCAAAGCCAAGCTGCTGTTCCGCAGGAGCTTTCTGAGGCCTGAAGGACCTAGAGCCAGTCCCTGTAACCTGGTATGAAGAAACCCCACAGAGTCTACCACTCCTCCCCGTACCAAGCCCTGGTCTGGGGCCCACAGTTGCTCCCCTCTCACAGCCCTCTGACTCCAGCCTGACTCAGCCTCCAGCCCTGCCCCCAGCCTGCCTTCGCTCCAGAGCCAGCTGGAGCGCATGCCGCAAGGTCTCCACATTGTTCAGAACATTGTATCGACTCAGAGCCACCAGCCGCTCAAACTCCTCAGGCTCATAGGTGAAGTTCATCATGCCATATGGAGTGTCTGCCCCATTGACCACAAAGTCCCCGTAGGCCTTCTCCTCGGCTGTTTGTCGCTCCACACCTACAGGTGAGAAGTGGCAAAGAGGCCAGGCTGGGGCACTCTGTGGCTAGGAGTGGCCAGCCCAGAAGCCCCCACCCCTTGCCCTAGGACATCTGGCAGGACCCACATTTCAGCTCTCTCTACCATCAGGAGGAACCGGGCCAGTGTGGATCCTGAGGCCTGGAAGGTGTGGAGCAGTGGCCAACCTGGGCCCTCCAAGAGGCATGGGGTCCAGGAAATCCACTGTCAGAACGGCACCCCACCACCACCCTGGGCTGTGTGAGCCAGACCCCGGCCCAGGGCCGCCCCTCACCTGGGGCCAGGTGTGTGCAGAAGGTACGGTTGACGAGGGGAAAGTGCAGCACGATGGGAGAGCGGGGGTCCTTGGCCTTGGCGAACAGGTAGCACTCACGGGGTTCCTCCAAGTCCTCGGGGAGCACCTCGATACTTGGGAAGGGGATGCCTCGGTCCAGGCAGTACTTCTCTGTCATCTGTAAGACCTGGGCAGGGAGGCCAGCTTTGGACCCTGCCTCCGGCTGCCTGCACTCACATAGGCCGCCCACTAGCTGAGTGACTGCAGGTGGGCTACATCACCTTCCCCAGCCAATTTCTTTATTTACATAATAAAAAAGAGACTAACTCTAGTGGGGGGTTGTGGAGATTAAGGACAATCATTAGTGTTCCCAGTGTCATTCCTCTCCTTCCCTTCTCTGGCTCCTCCCTGCTTCCTCTTAGGGGCTGATTTCAATGTCACCAGGTGGAAACTGAATGGTTACAGAAGGGCACGTGGGAAGAGGCTTTATTCATCATCTAATCCCAGGCTTTCCTTGGACCCAGGAGGATTAGGAGGAGGAAGCCAAAGATAGAAGGGCTGGCCCAGCAGCGGGACCAGAAAGCTCATCCAGATGATGGAACCCATCGGCTACCCCACAGGGTTTGAGGGAGCTGCCCCTAGAGACTCCCCGAGGGGACCTGATGGTAACTAACGGAGGGCAGACCCAGACGCCAGTCCAGATGGGAGCAAAGAATGCTATCAGGACAGGCAGGGGCCAGAACAGGAGCCTTCTCTTCACCAGTATGGGAGACTTCTGAGGACCTTCTTTGGCCTCTTCTCCCACCTCCCCCTCCATCGTATAGCCTCAGCAATCCCCCTCCTTCAGCTGGGGAGACCAGTGCCACTAAAAGTCTTCACAAGGTACCCGCCCTTGGATTAGAACCCAGGCCCTCCGTGAAGGGCAATCCCCAAAGCCCAGCCAGGCCGCCCTGCAGAGAACCTCAGTTCCTCCCCACCACACACCTTACCTCGAAAGGGGCCTCCAGGGAGTAGTCAAAGGACAGAATGAGGTCCACCGCTCTCTGGGGCAGCAGGCTGAGTGGGAACGGAGAGTTGATGGCAAAGCCCCCATCCACCAGGCACAGGCAGTCCCGCATGGGAGTGAGCTGGTTGGGGAAGGCGTCAGGGTGCGTATCTGCAATAGGGACAAATGCTCACTCTTCTCTCTCTGTAGAGATCTCTCCTCCCCTTCTGATGGCAACAGAGTCTCCCACCCCAGCCCCTGGCCCTGCCTCCTGGCAGACATCCCAGTCCTTCCCCATCAGCCCCTGGGCAGCAGGAGCCCATAGCCCAACCTCCGGGAACAAAGGCAGTGCTGGTCCAGGTGAGCCGTGAGCCGGAGGCAAAGGCAGCGGGGGGACCCCCCAGCCAGAGCAGCACCCACCTTTCCAGGCCATGAACTCCCGGCCAGCCACATAGTCTTTGTGCAGGCAGAGGCCCCTGGTGAAATTACAGTTCTCCGCGAAGGTAAAGCGGGAAGTAAAGATGTCCAGCACGGCCTGGGAGAAGGGCCCCTGGCGGGTGAAGAGCCTGGTCCTCAGACGTGTGGGATCGTGCAGCTGGAGCTTCTGGCAGTCATCTAGATGGGAGCGCGTGGGTGAAATACAGTCAGAAGGGTGCTTGCTGTCTGTTCTCCAGTGGCCCTTATGGCCCAGGGGACCCTTCCTATCTCCCCCCCACATTCACCCCTCCTTCACCCCACCTCCCAAGCCTCAGACCACTGCTTCCCAGAACCTCTTTTAAATGGCCTTTTCTTTCAGCGTCCCTATATTTGAAAGTTGCCTATGACAGTGTATTTGTTAAGTGATAATTTATATGCCCTGTGAAAATAAAGTTGTGTATGGGGCGCCTGGGTGGCTCAGTTGGTTAAGTGTCCGACACTTAATTTCAACGCAGGTCACAATCTTGTGGTTTTGTGGTCATGAGATCGAGCCTGGCATTGGTCTCTGTACTGAGTGGAGCCTGCTTGGGATTTTCTCTCTCCCTGTCTGTGCCCCTCCCTCTCTCTCTGTCTCTCTCAAAATAAATAAATAAATAAATAAACAAATAAATAAATAAAATTTTTTTTTTAAATTTTTTTTTTCAACATTTATTTATTTTTGGGACAGAGAGAGACAGAGCATGAACGGGGGAGGGGCAGAGAGAGAGGGAGACACAGAATCGGAAACAGGCTCCAGGCTCTGAGCCATCAGCCCAGAGCCCGACGCAGGGCTCGAACTCCCGGACCGCGAGATCGTGACCTGGCTGAAGTCGGACGCTTAACCGACTGCGCCACCCAGGCGCCCCATAAAAATAAATTTTTAAGAAGTTGCTACAATCTAAAACCTTTTTTTAAAAAAAAAAGAAAACAAAGTTTTATATACAACTTCCAATCACAATTTCATCCATTAAATCACCTGCTGAGCAGTTACTGCGTGCTGGGCCCCTCCAGGGCTTATAGCCTACTTAGGAGGAGAGTCACATAAAGAGATCATAAATCATACTAATGCCCCAAGGTAAGGACAATGGTGGGGTGTGCACATAGTCCTATGAAACTTGGGTGCTGGGGCGTGCAGTAGAACAGAGAAGCCCCCTGACAAAATGATGTCAGAGCTGAATCTTAAGGGATGAGCAGAAGTTATCCAGGGAAGAAAGGTAGAAAAGGTTCTGTGCAGCAGGGAGCAGCCCAAACAGGAGCCCTGAGGTGTGTGGACAGATATCCACCAGATGCCCAGTGGTCCTGGTCTGCGTTGACATAACTGGAACCCAAGCAGAGAATTCAAAGGTGCAGTCTTACTATAGAGCACTCACAGCTCCCACTGGCTTTTCTGAGGTGGGCCTTCCCCTCCTTCCCCTGGTCCCCCTGCCACGCTGCCTCAGCAGATCTCTGGGCATCCACAGACCCTAAGCTACAAGTCACTTCCTCAGGACTTCTCTGAATGCAGTGGGACAGCTGAGTCCTGCACCATCCCCTCCCTCATCCTTTGTGCCTCCACCAGGGCCCCGACGCTGGAAAGAGCAGTAGGGGGAGGTCAGGGTGTCTACCCGCACCTGTGATGTTTACACTCCCTCTGTGGCAGTCTAGGAAGCTGAGGCCCGAGCCGGCAGTCTTCAGGAAGATCTCATCCAGGCTGGCTGCAAAGGCGCTGCCCCACACACCTAAGCAGAAAGACAAGGCCCTGGGCCCTCACATCTCCTCCAGCCCACCTCAGGGCCTGGCGCAGCCCCTGCCCTGGCCCCAGCCCTCCAGCCCAGACTCACCCTGCAGGTAGCAGATCCGGGGCTCAGGCTGGGGCTGCAGCAGATGCCCCATGAAGAACTCAGAGCCAAAGAGCTCAGTGGGAACATAAGCCCCGTACTTGGGGAAGCCGACCTCATAGGGTGTGAATTCGCACCATTCTGGGGATCCAGAGTGAAGGGAATGTCACCAGGGGCCTTCCACCAGGACCCCAAGGTTTCCCCTCACACCTGAGCACAGGAGTGGGAATCTCACTTGCCAAGAGCAGGAGGCAGCAAGCCCACTGTGCTCCAAGGCTCCCATCTATACACTGATAGCTCTGGCCTCTCCCACTTTCCTACCACCCATCGCCTCCACGTGCTTCCGAGGTCCCTGCACCCAGGCACCTGCGAAGTCTTCCCCGCTGATGTTGGTGTGGACATTGATGCTGGCGTAGATAGGATAAGGGTTCTGGCCCTGGTTGACGGCCTCCTGCTGGTCAGACAGCTTGGCAGGGTTTTTCTGGTAGGAAGGAAAGGAGGCACTTGACTTTTGGGGGTCCCCTTCCTCCCACCCTCATGGCTTGAGGCCTGATACCCTGAAGAGGATGCCATGGCCCACAAGGGACTGTGGCTGTCAAGGCCAATGCTCTAGAGACAGCTCTCTAAGGACGAGGCTTTAGGCTGCAGCAAAGGTAAGGCCCCTGTGGGTTTTGTGCAATTCCAGGGGCACTGGGAACACTCCCCACTTGTTTCCCATTCAAGAAAGCATATTGGAACCCAAGGGAGTCAGTGACATTTGTTTTTTTGAGTCAGTGACATTTTTAAAGAAAAAATTGAAAACCAGTTTACTTTCTTTAAAAAGTAAATCGTTTGAAAATATGCATTCTTTCCTCAGACACGAGAAACCACTTGTGATAGACGTCCACAACAGAGAGCCACAGAGTGGGCCAGACTCCGAGGGCTGAGAACCCTGCTGGGCTCTGAATACTCTCACCTCCCAGCTCATACCCAGCCTGCATTCTAGGAGCAGCATGGCAGCTGGAACGCTTTCAAAACACACTGTGCTAGGGCTTCACCCCAGACCAGCCCAAATCAGTATCTCTGGAAGTAGGGCCCAGGCAAGGGTGTTTTTGAAAAGCTGTGCAGATGGGGGGCATCTGGGTGGCTCAATCGGTTGAGCGACCGACTTCTGCTCAGGTCATGATTTCGTGGTTCATGGGTTCGAGCCTGGCATGGGGCTCTGTGCTGACAGGTCAGAGCCTGCAGCCTGCTTTGGATTCTGTGTCTCCCTCTCTCTCTCTCTTGCCCCTCCCTTCCTCCCTCCCTCTCTCTCTCTCAAAAATAAAGAAACATTTAAGACATTTTTAAAAAGGAAAGAAACGCTGTGCAGGTGATTCTAATAAACGCTGTGCAGGTGATTCTAATATGCAGACGGACTTGAGAACTGCAGACCAGCTTCTCCCCTCCCAGGGGTGAGGAGCCAGGAAAGACAAAGTGGTGTCAGCCCACTCAGGGATCCACCTCTTGTCCTCAGAGAGCTCAGACCTAAGGGACCTCTTTGCAAATCTTAGATCTTACCTCAGCACCTAAGGCAGAAGTAAGTGTTGGCGGGGCAGGGGTGGAAAGGAGCTGTGTTTATTTATTATCTGCTCTTCTCTTACCTCCTGGTAGAGGAAATATTCAATGAGGAGACCCCAGATGTCGATGAGGGAAACTCTGTGGCCAGTGCTTTCCAGGCTCCCCAGTTCCTGGGCATAGTATTGTAGGCGCTCCGTGGACATCGCCCCCATCTTACTGCTGCAGACCCGAGCCTGGGCACGCTCAATGGGGCCCTGCAAGGCCACCTGGGACCAGGCTGGGTCCTTGTAGAGTGTGGAGATGCACCTGGGCATAGAGGGAATTAGGGGCAGTGGGGCAGCAAGCACGGCAAGGGGAGAGAGGGAATGCAACTGTTGGTGAGTGACCCTGCCTCTCCATCCCTTGAACCTACTGCCCTGCCCCACCCACTCAAGGAGGCCTGGGCACTCAGTGCCCCTCCTAACCCCCTTGGAGGCAGGATCCCAGCACGCCCTCAGGGACTCCACCTATATCACCAGCCACATTCCTTCCCCTTCAGGGCTCTCCTTTACTCTGCATCCTACCCCACCTCACTTACCAGGTAGACCCAGAGACCCCACTCAGGTAGGTCACAGTGTCCAGGAGGCCAAGTTCCTGCAGCCCTGCCAGGCTGCCGTACAGGGAAGACATGGCTCGGGTTCCACCTCCCGAACCTAGCACAGCCACCACAGGCACCTGGGCACAAAAATAATCATAACATTGACCACCACTGTCGCTTATGAATTATTGCTTATAATGTCAGACATTTGTCTACGAGCCTTATCTGTATAATCTCATTGAATCCTCACAAGCAACCCAGTGGGATCCCCATTTTGCAGATTAGGAAACGGAGGCACAGGAAGGTTGGACAATGTGCCCACAATCGTACAGGTAGTAAGTGATGGGCCATCAGACTGAAGCAGTATGACTCTAGAGGTGGCTGTTGACAATTGTCTCGGGATTATATGTAACTGGAAGGTATCCTGGATTTCACCCAAAACTGTTGGAGCAGGGTTTCTCAGTCTTGACACAATTGATGATTTTGGACTGGGTAACTCTTTGTTGTGAGGAGCTGTCCTGTATGTTGGAGGATGCTTAGCAGCATTCTGGGCCTTTACCCAGTAGATGCCAATAGCATCCTCTCCCCCGGCCCTGCTGGTAACAACAAAGCATGTCTCTAGACATAGACAAATGTCCTCTGGGTGGGGGGTGGAGGGATGAAATGACCCCCAGTTGAGAACCATTGGGCTAAAGCGATGAAGACCACCAAAGCCTGGACTTGCCCCAGACGTGAGCGGTGCCCAGATGTCTCTTTGGGATCAGAGGTGCCTGGTGGGGTCAGACTAGAAGCTTTCTGGCTGCTCAGCTTTTCCATGAAGCTTTAGCTCATTCTGCCCCCAGACTTTTGGTTCCTTTCCCTGGCCTCCTTTCTTCTATCTTGAAAGAAATGCTCCCTGGCCAGTGCCCACAAGGACACTCTCCCTTCAGAGCGCTGGAGGACACAGAGCTCCCTGAGAACAAGATCTTTGCCCTCTTTACCCTCTACCTCCAGAGAGGACATCTGGCACAGAACAGTCACTACCAAATGAACAGTCCGGTCTTGCTCACCTTGTCAGGATTCAGAAGAGCCTCTGACTCCTGGGTACACTTGTAGCAGAAGAAAGCCACCAACTTATTCCCAATTTACCATAGCTCTCTGCCTTGGTGTGGCCTTGCCTCCTGCTTCCCAGCCACGGCTCCTGTGGACCCTCCACTTCCAAATTCCTTTGTCTACTGTTATGGTCTGAATTGTGCCCCTGCCCCTGCAAGTCCTTATGTCGAAGCTCCAGTATGACTATATTTGTAGAAAGGGCCTATAAGGTGGTTATATAGGTTATGTAAGGTCATAACAGTGGGGACTTTATCTAATAGTATCGGTGTCCTTGCAAGAAGGGGAAGAGAGAGATTCCCCCCTTATCCCCTGTACATGTCCAGTGGAAAGGCCGTGTGAGGACACAGCAAGAACATAGTTGTCTACAAGTCAGTAAGAGAAACCTCACCAGAAACCAGCACTGATGGCACCTTAATCTTGAACTTCCAGCCTCCAGGTGAGAAAATAACTGTTTGTTGTTTAAGCCACCTTGTCTGTGGTGTTCTGTTGTGGCAGCCCGAGGAGACTCATATACCTCCCTTGGCCAGGGCTGTTCATCCCTCATTACATACAGGGTCCTGACTCTCCTGATTTTGCCTATCAGCTCTGGCAAGCAGGACTGCCCCTTCCTCCTCTGTTTCCCACCCTTTCTCAAGGCTTCCTGTAACCACTTGGCCACACAGTACTCTCAAGGGAAGAGGCTGGATTTGGTCTTGGTGACCCTGGGGTCCAGCTCCTCCATTTCATACCTGGCCACTGTCAGGCGCCTGGCTCAAACCCAGAACCTGCTGCAGGGCCTTGGACACGATCTGCTTCCTCTTGTCCAGAAACTCCCGTTCCCCATCACACAGGCCAAAACCAAGACGCAGGTCAAGGTCTCCAGAGCTGCCAGAGATGGAGTGGGGGGGGGGGGAGGGGGCGGGTACTGGGTGACTGTTCATTGGAGGAAAGCCTTGGGCCCAGCCCATTTTTCACAGGAGCAGACCCATATTCCATCGAACCCCTTAGAAAGACCTCAGCAGAACCAGAGATGCCTTCCACCACCGGGCTGAGCTGAGTGGGCAAAGAGCCCCTACATATTCAGCCTAACATAAGAGCCTTCCTCCTGAAGTCAGCCTTCCTCACCTCATTTCTGCCTTCATACTCAGAACCACCTCCTGGCCCTGAAAGAGACAATAGCCCCATCCCTGAGTGCTCTGAGTGGATTCTCCCACCCACAGCTCCTGTTGCTCTGGTAGCTCTGGCCCGTATGTGAACATCGTGGCTGAGCTCCAGGCTGGCCTGAACTTGACCCCCTCTGAGGCCCCTCCCCCAGCCTTCTTTTGGTGGTCACAGAGCAAGCAGGGGTCCCTCAGGCACCCAGGCAGAGCCTTACCTCCCCTAGGGCCACAAAGCGCTGTTCCTCTTGGCCTAGGGCCAGAGAGGAGAGCAGGATACCCCCCTCACCCAGCTTGTTGGTGTGGGCCTCCAGCTCAGCACTTGGACCACTCTGTAGAGAAGAAAACACCCAAGGAACCCACCATGGTGAAGGAAAACATGCCTCCATGGTGGCCCCAGGATGCCCCTCTAGGATGGACTGATTCTATCATCCATCCCTTCCCAGACTATGGGCTCACTCACTTGCAGGACTGTGAGCCTCTCCCCCAGCTCCACATCCAGCCTGGAGCTGATCACTGGGTTCACGTGAAAGGTGAAGGTAGCTGGGAGGCCTCCCTCCATGGGAGGTTGCAGGGGCAAGAACTGTGGCTTCTCATAGGCCCCGGGCACTGTCAGCTGAATCTGCCTAGAGCCTGGGAGCAGAGGGCCGAGGTAAGGGGGTGAGAGTGCGGGGGTGTGTGTCGCTCATGGTGGCAGCGACCTGGATGGCAACTCCCCTTTGTTTCCTCTTTGGAGATGCCAACTCATCACTCTGCTCACCCTGTGGTTCTGTGGCCCACAGCAAAGGCATCATGAAGGACACTCAGGGTCCTACAACATGCCCTGGTCAGAACTGGGAACCTGGGGAGGGTAGGAAACACACAATGCCTTGGGAAGGGGGAAGGGCAGGGAGGGAGAGGACTCCTTGCCCAGAGTTTATGAGGCTGATGATTTTGAGATCATGATATTAATTATATAAAATATAATTCTATAATAATTATAATGTTATAATTATCATACATTATTACATTAATTACCAATCTTCAACTGGTAGTTTCCCCATCTTTTGCTTCCATTCAAGCTCTGTGCTCATCACCTTGGGGAAGGTTTGTGGCCAGGGAAAAAAACAGATAGGCAATAAGTTGTTCGGCCCTTTGTTTCCAAAGTGTAAGACCTTGCGAGCACACAGAGGGTGTGCAGCAGAGGTGAGAGGAAGGAGTGGGTTCCTGGGTAGAGGCTCAGAGGAGCAGAGCAGAGCCAGCCCAGGCCAGAAGGAGGCAAAGAGGGAGGCCTGTGGGCTCACCCTGTTCCTAGCAGCTTTCTCGGGAGGAGGAAAAACCCCAGAGAGAAATGTCCATGACATTCAGACAGGGGGGACCCCAGGCAGCCTCACAAAGGAGCCCCAGACCCTAAACATGACTTGGGAGCAACAGGCACCCAGAAAGCCCAGAATGGCAGATGCCTCAGGAACAGAGGTCCACATGAAACTCTTCTCCCAACACACCCTCCTTGGCACTAAAATGAGACCTGGAGACATGACATGACCCTGGGTGGGAGGGAATTAGAGAAAATAAGGAAACTGATACTTCTTTCACACCATGGTTTATGGATGGAGATTGATATGTGTTGTTCAGAGTCAGAAATAATAGACCCCGGAGTGTCACAGACCTGGGTTTGGTTCCTGGCCTTATCACTCTCAGGCTGTGTGACCTTAAGTAAGTTTCTTGTTTGAGCTGGAGCTTCATAAATTAAGAGGATATAGTTGTATTTTCCAGGGTTGTTATAAGGATTAAAAGATAAAAGACATGTGAAATGCTGAGCACAGTGCCTGACTCAGAGTAAGTGCTGGACATTTTCTGGACAGGACTCATCCCATGGGCTCAGACCCTCAGTGTCAGAAGAGACCTTAGCTGTCACACAGCCTCTGCTGCGCTTCTGCTTCTGCGTCTGAGTGGCTACCCTCTGTGGCACACTATACCGGTAGCCTCAGTTCTTCACTTCTGGAATGCCCATGCTTTGTCATGTGACTTCACTTCCTCCCACTGAGAGGCCAAAATGTTAGTTACTGACTATGATGTGACCAAAGGCTTGAAAACCACCTGCTCATCTGGGCTTGCTCTCATACATCTGCTGATGCCTTAAGAACACAACCAGTCCAGGGCTGCTGGGTGGCTCAGTCGGTTGTGTCCGACTTTAGCTCAAGTCATGATCTCATGGTTTGTGAGTTTGAGCCTCACATTGGGCTCTGTGCTGACAGCTCAGAGCCTGGAGCCTGCTTCCGATTCTGTGTCTCCCTCTCTCTCTGCCCCTCTCCTACTCACTCTCTTTCTCTCAAAAATAAATAAACATTAAAAAAATTAACAACAGCAAAAACAGAACATGACAAGTCTGCTAGTCACAGAAGGTTGTTGAGGGACATATGGCACAAAGCCAGGTCCCTCCTGCCAAGCCCAGCCTAGATCATGATGCATGGGCTCAATAAATGCTTCCTGTTGTCTGCCATTGAGATTTAGGGTTGCTTTTTGCAGAGCACTAGTTGGACTAATACAGCCTCTATGCTTGAACACTTCCAAGGAGAGGAAATTCACTACTTCCAGAGGCGAATCCGTCCCATCCTTGGTCAGTTTTGAGTGGTAAAACATTAAGAACTTTCCACCTCAGACCCACCTTCTTGAAATCAGCAGCCCAACCCCTAGGAGAGAAGGCAAGACCCAAGGTCATGGACCAGACTCACCATACTCTCGACGTGGGGCTGTCCCGTCTTCCCTCAGGGTCCCCTGGATTCTCAGACAGGGCTGAGCCTGAGGAAGACAGAGGCCTGTGGGAGCCGCCCATTCACAGGGCCCCGCACAGGGCCCAAACCAGGGTGAAAGGAGGGGTCTCTGGAGCAGGGCCCAGTTAACGACCTTCCCAGGGCCTGTGCCTTGTGGGTAGGAGTCTTCTGTAGCAGCCTCCTTCCCAGGATTCAGAGGAAGTGGCCCTGGTGGGAAAGGGGAAGGAGGAGAGGGGCTCTGATAGTGATGCCTTTGGCAATCCCAGCAGCCAGGGGCCCAAGTACGTGATGTGCTGTGCACAAGGTAGGATGGTGGGCTTCTGAGCTGTCCACTCAGATGTGAGATATCTTCTTGCCCCTGGTCCCTGGAGATGCCTCCCTAGCACATTTCCCCTCTCAGGAGTGCTTGAGTGTCCTTCACAGGCAAGTGGGCATGATAGGCTCAATTGTGGAGTCTGCAATGCCCCCCAGCCCTGGGCAGCCCCAAGCTCGCCTTCCCTACTCACCACCAGGACTCCATTGGTGATGACTTCAGACGCAGGCACCTGGCTGCAAAGGATGAGGGGCTCATGGGACATCTGGCTCCCCTTGAAATGGCTGTTACTATAATATGTGACTGAAGCAGCTGAAAGAGCCTGGGGATCATGGCCAGGTTTGGCGGTGAGAGTGGGTTTGTCACCAACACTCAAATGGGTGACTAGACTAGGACATTCCCCCACAGGCCAGGCCAGCGTAGGTCCTGGTGATTGACAGCTGGAGCTGTCCTGGAGTCTTGGTGTAAATGGAAGGGTATAGGCACCACCTGGACTCACCTGTTCTCCAGAACAAATTCCACCTGCAGCTCCTGTGAATCCTACATGGATGAAGCAAGGAAGCATCCATTTGCAAAGAGCTCTGAAAGCATCAGAGACTGTCCCTGCCCCCTACCCTGCTCAGCTCCAGGATCTAGAAGAGGTGACGGTTGTTGTGGCTTTTCATGGGCACAGGACAAGTAGTAGCATCTTCATGAGAAGCTTCATGCCTTCAAAACTGTGTTCCAGGCCCTGTTCTAGACACTGAGGGTTCAGCAGTGACTAAGACAGACAAAGTGCTCTGCCCTCAAGGAGCTCACATGTTGGCTCCACTCAGGGAAGATGTATTTGAGGGGAACCTTTGTAGGGTTTGTAGGGTTAGTGGTGTAGGATAGAGAGAGGCCTGTCTTGGAGGCCTGGCCTTGCTGACCAGGAGCCCTCACCTCGGTGTCCTGTGCCCAACTTCCTCTCCTTGAGTTCAATTCATTGCTGGCACAGGTATGGTGGCTCACCTGGTGGTTGAGTGGGAAGATGTGTCTGTAGGGTTGGCCAGGCTTGAGGCTCCTCAGATCAAAGAGTAGCAGGGAGAGCTGGTCACTGCCCAGGATGTCCTTATCACAGAGGGTGAGCTCCAGGACATTCTGGAAACAGGGCAGGCAAGAGGTGGGAGCCTGACATAGGGCAGGAACATAGGCAGCCCTCTCCCTCTGCTGGCCCTCACCTTCACAGCACCATGGATCTGGTAGTGGAAAGTCTCGTTCCACTCAGGGTCACTGCAGTTAGCCACCATCCTTGTCTGGGCAGGGCTAGGGGACGCAGTGGGCAGGCACAGTTCCACGTAGCAGTCAGCTTTGGACACTGCAGGTGGGGTGAGGGAGGGGTCCTCACTCTCTAGCTCTTGTTGCTGAAAAGGTTGCCTGGGGAAGGCTGGGGCAGAGGGGAAGGAGCCAAGGAGAATAGAAGCTGCCTGTTTGGGACAGGGCGACGTGGGGAGAGCCGGTGTCCCTAACTCCATATGAACCAGTTACACCACCCATTCAACTGAATCCTGTAGTGGCCAGTTGAAAAGACCACGTGGCAGCACAGATAGTTGAGTAATTCCCTAAAAGAGCCTGATTCAGACAAAGAACTCCCCTTCCATTGTGAGCACTGGTGTGGAAAGCTGCTGGAGAGCAGATGATTTCTGGCAACAGTGGGCCTCACATGCTCACTCAGGCTGGCACTGCTCCACTTGCTAGTGTCAGAGAGGAGTCCATGGTCGGCACAAGTCTCCCCTCCAGCCCCTCCTGCCTGCCCCGGAGCTCCCTCACCAGGATGGATTCCCTCCACAGTCACCACGAGCCCCTCTGCCCCACTCCAGATACACACACACACTTCAGGCCAGCCCCTGCTGAGCTCTGGGGAGGCCCTAGGGAAAGGAAGAGAAGAAAGGGTGGAATTGGGGGTCACTCACAGAGATCTGTGCCCTGGATATTTCTGGCCCTCAGCACCTTCACCTGGAGGTCATAGTAGGGGTGGGTTTCCCACTGAAACAACAGAACTCAGGAACTCAGTTCCAGGAAGCTGGGTAGGGGGCCTGATCTCCTCCCTGCAGTAATGCCCAGCTTAGTCTTCCCCCTTCCAGTCACAGAGCAGGAGCCTGACCCAAGGTCACTGATGTCGCTGTGCCTGGGAGCTGAGAGGTCTTGGCAGGGTCCTGGCATTGGGAGTTCAGCATGTTGGTGATGAGTTCAGGCTGGGTTCAAAGCTAAATTCCACTAGGGACTAGCTGAATGGACTTGGGCAAATTACTGGATTTCCCCATGCTTCATTTTCCCCATCAATAAACGGGGGGGTTACAACCTCACAGGGTTGTGGGGAGTTTTAAATGAGAAGTTGTATAAAGTGCCTGGTATAAGTGCTTCATACATGTGGCCATTGTTACTAATTATGGTTATGAGGTACCACAAACTGGCAGCTTCCCTGTCATGCTGCTGCTATAGCTTGGGAACTTAAGGGAGAGCTGGAGTGATGTACTTAGATTAAATATTAGACGGGAAAGCTGTAGTCTATCCTACCCACTAGCTCACTGACAAAGGCCACACCTCCTAGGAGGAGGCAGGTGAAGGGAAACCAGGTGTCATCCAGCTTGGACTGGTCCGACTAGTCGCTAAGGAGACAATAGCTTGGGCCAAAGAGAGATAACAGCAGGCTGCAGCCTCCTGGGAGTGAGGCTAGCCCCTCAAAATCCCAGCAAACACCTTCCTCCTTTCCCCTGAGGGACTCTACATCCAGGCTAGGGCATTCTGGGCAAAGCCAACAGCTGTACGTATCACATGACCTCACTCTCCATTCCTAATTGGGGAGGGTGGGGGTGGAATTATTTCCAAAAGCCAAGGTCTTGGCCAATCACTTTAAGCTCCACCAGGTTGGCTAGAGCAAATTGGTCCTAGCCCGGATCAAAACCCAACCCTGGGCTAGCCTGTCTTCAGAGGGGACTGAGCTCCCAGGACTCCTGCAGTCCACACGCCCGGGGGAAGATCAAGTACTTTACCCTCCATTGCCTCCACTGAGGTCCCCTCTTGTCTCTCTTCCGCAGCAGCACTGCCCCCAGGAGGGGCAGCCCCTTGCCTGCCAGCCACCTTGGCCAGAGCGCCCAGAGCATGGCCAGCCAGCCCAGTTCTCAGCAGGAAGCCCTGCCTGCTTTCCAGAGCCACTCTGTTCTCCTCTGGCTCCACTCACTGCTAGCTCAGGTCTGACGGTAACACCAAGGTGGGGAGGGTGGAGCTGGCTGCTCACAGGAGGACTCGAGGACTCAGAGTTGGGCGGCCTGCTGGGGCTGGAGGTGGAGTTTGATATGCTCCAGGAAGTGGCTGGGGCCCAATTCCCTCAGGCAGGAGGCACTTCAGTCCCTCTCCAAGAGGATGAGGAACTGGTACTCTGGCTCCCAAACCCAGCCTCTGGTTATTATTGAGCTGCTCATGGAAAATAGATACCTGAGTCTCACCCCCTAGATGATTTGATTTAGTGGGTGTGGGTCGAACCCAAGTGTTCATATTTCCAATAAGCCTTCTAGACAATGCTGATGCAGCAAGCCCAGGGAATGGAAGCCAGTAAGTTCTGCCTCGGGGCCTCCGCTCCTCCAGGTAGAAAGAAGTCCTAAAACCATCTGCCTTCCAAGTCCCACCTTCCCCATGTTTCTTAAGCAGGAACATGGAAATCTCCGGTTCAGTTTTATCTGGACTCAAAGGTGTTTCTAATCTCTTGTGGCCTCCCTCATTTTTTTTCTCCAAACACAGACCGTCTGCTGTGAACCAAACCTGCACTAGGCCCTGGAACCAAAGGTGAGGAGGACCCATCCATATCCTGAGGAAATTCACAGCAGCTTCTGGCCAGGGCCCTCTTCCTGAATGGGTAGATATACCTGGATGGTCCGGGTATACAGATGGGGATACAGTCAGGTGGTATCAATAGTGACAGCTAAAACAAGTCTGCCTATCCTTAAGCTACTAGAAATAAGGCTTTAGTTCAGAGGGTCCTCTTTTGACCACCATAAGCCTCAGGCTACAGATGGTACGTGATGTCCCCTTTTCTGTGGACCACGACACTCTAGGTGGTATTTTTCCATCCAGGCAGCTTCCAGAAGAAAAGATTTCTGGGGCAGTGAGCTGATGATGGGAGATAATTTCTATTCTTCAACCAAGACTTAGTCATCTCCACTCTCCTCCCCAAGGCATGAGGTGGAGACTGAAAAAACAACATCCAAAAAAGAGGTGATTCAATTCCAAAACGAACACTGTAGGCAAGTTGAGACCAGAAACTCCCAGAAAAAAAGGGGATGACTGCCACTGGCCAGGCTCCAACAGGAGGGCCTATTTCTGCTTAATTTGAGCCATGAAGCCAAGACCTGTGCTGAGGTCTCAGAAATGCCTTAGTGCCGCCCCGTTGGTGGTATCCATGCACAGCATGCAGGGCACCCGTGGATCCACACCAGAGGGACATGAGAAAGGGCGCGGAGCTGGCTGGGGCGGACACGGCAGTCTGGCGTCCCGTCTCCTGACTGATGTATTTTCTGGGCTGTACAACACTCTCTCCTGGGAGTCACAGGTCCTGTGCCTCAATAAAGCCATGCTTCTTAGTTCCAGATGCTTTTCATTCTCAAAGAACACTCAGGATGACCAGAGATGGCTAGAGAGGGGGACAGAGAAAGACCAAACTGCCTTTTTGGAGCTGGCCAAAATGGACCAACCCTTCTCCACTTCTCAAACATCCTTGGGTGTATGTTTCGTGATTCTCCCGGTCAGCAGGAGCTGCAGGAAGAGGCCATGAGGCCCTAATATGTGAAGCGCCTGGGGAGACAACTGGGATTAGCTAGAGTTCCTGTGTGTCCAACACAACTTGGTGATGTCAGAAATGTTCTATACCTGTGCTGTCACACCATCAGCCACCACAGCCACACTAGCTGTGCTGGACGGCACAGATCGAGACACACAGTTGCCACAGGTGTTCTACTGTCTTTTCTCTCTTTGTCACAAATTGGCTTATTCTTCTCAATTCTTACCTAAATCAGTATCTTCTCATTGTTATCTCCATCATAGGACGCGTGGAAAAGAGACCCAAACAGGTTGGTTTCTTACTTTATGATGTTTATTATGAGATCCTCAAGAGTCATTACAGAGTTTCATGTCTAGCCTTCTCCACATCTCCGCAGAGGGCAAAGAGGGTCCAGGGAAGGAAAAGTGGAGTTTGGGAAAGCTGGATCGTTTATATATTCCAAAGGAAGAAAACACGCATTCTTTATTCTATTGCTTCAAACACATGTGCCACACAGGTCGTGGGAATGGAAGATACAAACAGAGCAAGCCAGGAAGACTGGGTCTGCATGGCGGGGTGAGCTTCTGCTGCACAGAGGAGGGCCGGCCTCATGACTTCACTGCTGCTTCCAGGTGAAGCTCCTCCGAACTGGTGCAAACAGGTCCAAGGGCAGCACTGCTTCTCATGGGCTGGCACGGCCAGCTGGGCCTGACTCTCCTGAAGTGCTGCTCTGTCTCCCAAACCTGAGCAGTCCCCATCTGCGTGCACGATGCCGAGGGCATGCACTCTGTCCCCGCGGACCCTCCATGGACAGTGTGCCCAGGAGGAGCCTAGTCTACTACACCAGTACGTCAGCCTACAACAAAGGCCCAAAATGGCACGGTGCTGCGGGTTAAAAAGAACCGTGGCATGTCAAGGACAGGCTACTAAAACACTGTCGGGGCTGGGCACCATCACCCACCCTTATCACCATTAAAAACACAGCAGCAACAAGACTGTGCGTTGTAAACCCCACGGAGGACAGGACACAGGGCTGCTCTCCCTGTGTGTCTGCCTGCAATGCTAGACACTCCTCCTGTCTGTCTCGGATACCCGCGGGGGTGGGGAGTCTCCCTGCCCCCTCCATGGATGTGGTAGGGAGTGACTTCACAAACCCATGTGCTGCTGCCACCTCCTGCAGCGCTCTTGGCTGTCCCCGGGCACCTCGCAAGCATGCCTGACATCACATCCCTGTCAGTTCCCGATGTGAGCAGTCCTGTGTGTAGCAGAGACCCACCCACCCACAACAAGCCAGCTGGAGAGGACAACTGCCAGGCCAAGCTGTGAGAGGTAAGCGGGCCGCACTGGCTACAAAGGGAAAGGTGCCCAAGGCACAAAGCTCTCAGCCCACAGACTAAACCAACCTGCCCTGGGTGGCTGGTGGGTGAACCAGGAGCAGGAGGCCCCTCAGATGTTTAAGAGATATGACAGGCCATCCTTAGGGCCACCGTCACACCTGGCCCTGATGGACGGAGGATGACCCTCTCCTAAGCCTCTAAGCATAGAGCTCTCAGTCCAAGGAGGATCTATTTACAATATACCTGACAATCAATTATCGGTGTATCCTGGAAACTGAGACCTCCTCTTGCTTCTCATTTTACCTTGTTTAAAATATTAGTTATTCCCGGTGTCGGGAAAATGGGAGACAAAGCTGGGGTAGAGCAGTGAAGGGAGATAAAGGAAGAAAATAAATAGCGAGAAAGAAACGGAGACTAAAAACATAAAGGGATGAGTGGGGAGCCTCCCAGGGAGACAGACGGAGTGGTGACTATGGAGAAATGACTGTCATCACCTAGAGAGCCAGTGTCCGGCCTGCGCAGTGAGAAGAAACCTAGGACTGCTCTCCTTCCAGACCCCAGGCCAACTGCGCAGGGGGCTCCATGCAAAGTCCTGCATGTGCCTTCACAGAAAACTCTGAATAAACAATCTCAGGGTTACGGACTCTTGAGACACTTTCCTTGATCAGGTGATTGGTGTACAAAGGCAGGACACTGCCCTTCGTCACCTCCTCCCATCCAAGCAGGTAGTAAATTCTCTGCAACTGCCTGCAACATAATGGTATATAAGGTATAGCTAATCTCTTTTTTCTATCAAAAAGCTGGTAACACCAGACCACAAGTCTGATAAATTCAGAGATGTGCCAGGACTCAAGGTAGCCAGTAGTGTCCAAATGGGGAGACACCTGGTGGTGGAAGCAGCCCCTCATTTCTAAGGCCAGTGCTCCTTCCCCTCTCTGGGATAGCTGAACTGTCCATCTGAAGAATTCCTGGCATGCTGGGCTCAGGTGTCAGCTGGGTTTACCTCTTTGGAACAGAAGTAGTGCACGACCACGCCATTGGGGTATCTCGCAAATGCACTGTAGGGAGGGAAAGCCACTCAGGAGTGAGGACCACCTCTAAGAGAAGGCGCCTTACCCATATGCGACCCCAGAAGCAGCCCGCCCTAACCACGAGGAATGGCCCACCCTGAGGGTCTTCTGGATTTACATAGCCACCATCTCTGTCACATAACCAAACAGAGGATGAGCTCCATGCAGTTTGAAGGCATGGGAGTATTTCTTATTAAGTCATCAATGTGCAAAATGGGGCAGATGGAGCAGGACACCGGCCTGAGTCAGCACCAGCTCATGCAGATGTGACAATGCTCATTAGAACAAGTTTCAGGCCAATTCTAACAAAAGACAGAAGTAAGGTCTTTTTGGATTCTTCCACCCACATAAGAAAAAGGACAAAACACCATGCTTTGCAGGAAAGGGGATGGATTAGAATATATGCTTTGAAACACAACGTGATGGCTCAGGATTTTACTCAAGTCTTTTTCTTCCCGCAGAGGCACATCCGTAAAAGATAAGGACTTTCTGCCCACATACAACACACACACACCCACTGGCTACATCACAACGCACAGTTGCCAGAAGGGAAGGGCTTTATAGGCAGAAAATCAAGAGCCCTGTACCATTTCAAGTCTTTAAATCCTCAAGCCCACCCGCAAAACACAACATGGACTGCTCTCTGGAGCCTCAAGAACTAACCATGGCCAAGAGTCAGCAGCCATGCTCTCCCCCTCAGTTAAAGGGCAGAAATCCGTCCCGAGCCTGACCACTATCAAGGCTGAAACTGCATAGCTGTGAAGAAGGCTCACCTGTTCCCGATCTTCTTCTTACACACCATGCACACCTTCTCCTCGGTGATGATACACTTCACCTGCTGGTGTAAAATCCTCTCTTCCTGGACCTGGGAGAGCAGAGCGACTGGGAGAGAAGCCCCACCTTCCAGCACACAGAACACCAAGCAGAGGCTGGCTGGGTCTCACCTCCCAGCTCCCACAGAGGCCTCTAACTACAACACTTGCAACTAAATGTCAAGTCGGTTATTGTATCGGTTTGAGCTACAGTGTTAAAGCAACACAAAGCTCTGCTT